CTACCATTATCCCCATTATCACTCGTAGCTTTCATTCTGAGTTCCCTAGTATGAAGTGCTGCCTTCACTTCTTCTAAGGTTATAGAATCCTTACCAACAACAAAAGACTCTACAAAATTCTCAAAGCTAGACGGTAGAGATACAAGTAAAATCAACGCAGCATCCTCATCATCAATTTTAACATCTAAATTACGTAAATCAAGCAAAATAGAGTTAAGTTTTTCTAGATGTTCCCGTAAGGAAGTACCTGACTGCATCCGGAGGCTAAACAACCGCTGTTTCAGTAATAATTTGTTGGTCAACGACTTAGTCATATACAATGACTCCAGCTTCAGCCACAATCCAGCCGCCGTTTCCTGATCAGCAACCTCCGTGATGATTTGATCATCAAGACTAAGTAATATGGTAGAGTGTGCCTTCTCTTCCATAACTTCTAACTGCGAGTCAGTCGGTCCGTCTCCTGACTCCGAAGTAGTACTCTTTGGAGCCAACGGACGCCATATCTGCTGTTGTTTTAACAGAGCCTTCATCTTAATTTGCCATAGCCCGAAACTATTTTTCCCGGTAAACTTCTCAATTCTTATTGTTGAATCTCCTGCCATTGTTATCTTCAAGAAACTCTCCAAGGATTGAACCTGAGCTCTTGATACCAATTGTTGTGCGACAGCGGAAGCAAAGGTCGAAAACAAACAAGAAAACAATAAAGAAATTCAATGCAAACAATAAGAACAACACCAAGAATTTACGTGGTTCACTATCGATGTGATAGCTACGTCCACGGGCACCGAGATCGAATGATTTCACTATAAACTGCAAAGATTACAAAGATGATTCTTGTATTTCTCAAGAACGGCTCTCACTCTATCTCTCTTAACCCTAATACTGATATTAGGGAGGTTTTATATTAATCCCTAATTAAAAGATACTTGGGCAAAAAGATAATAAAATAAGATAACCTAAAACTGCAAAATCCGCGTTCCGTATTTTTCCTTCTCCGCCCGGTCAGACCGGGCAAGGTCTGCCCGATCGGGCGCGAGAAGAAGACTCCATACGAATGCTTCAACGTATCCAACCCCCACCGCCCGGTCAGACCGGGCAAGGTCTGCCCGATCGGGCGAAGGCTCGCCCGGTCGGGCGAAGGCTCGCCCGGTCGGGCGCGAGAGCAGCTTCTTCAACGAATTTGCCAGGCACCTCTTCTTCTTCCGCCCGGTCAGACCGGGCAATGTCCGCCCGATCGGGCGGACAAAGCTACGAAGTACGAGTCACCTAATATACTTATCAACACACAATGTGTCTGGTGTACAACGCAACCGGTGATAATATGACTTACGTTGTCACTCATGACTGGCATGGACGTCTTTGCGAATCTGCTTACCCAGTGATCATCGCGAATGGCCAATGGGGTGCATTCCTCCATGGACAATACTATGGTAACGATGATAGAGAATCTAGAGCTGGAATTGTTTACTCTGCTCTTAACAATCAAGGGGAAGAACGACATTGGTTCCTGGGTTTTGATAGTACAACCCAAGGTGCCTATAACAAGGTATATATCCTCCATTTTATATCACTATATTGTACATTTATTGCCAATTTTTTTTTGTAAAATATGAAAACTATACATTAGTCAAAGTTAACGGAAAAGTTTGTTTGATAGGGATATATATGTTTATTATTTTGTTTGGAAGGATCTTATATGTTTAAACTTTAAAGTGATCTAAAAAGACCTTATAAGTTTATTTTGTTGTTTGGGGAGATCTTGAGGTCGGAATACGACAATAATTGACTTTTTTTTTTTTTTTTCGACGTTGCCCTCTCACATGACCATAAAAACGACCCTTTTCTTTTTTTCCACGATTTCTCTCCAATTCCTCCTTCTCTCTTGTAATCCCCAAATGACACAAATCAAAATAAAGAAATTTAAAGGAAATCATGGAATAAAAAAAAAAAAAAAAAAAAGAAAAGGGGGTCATTTTTTAAGGTCATATGAGAGGTTAGAGAAAAAAGTCAATTATTGTCGGATTCTGATCTCAAAGTCCCCCAAACAACAAAATAAACTTTTAAGGTTTTTTTACACCACTTTAAACATATAAGGTCCAGACAAAATAGTGAACGCATATATTCCCTTCCACACAAATTTTCGAAGTTAACATATGAATAGTGAAAAAAAATTCAACGTATTAGTTATTCTGGGACGGAAGGAGTATGGACTATACTGTAAGAAAGTATACATTTTGGTCCAAAATTTGCCAGTGTATGTAATTATTATACCATTGATTTCTTTGATTGTTTGCCATTGCAGGTGTACGTAGAAATTCGGGAGGCAGGGCACTATGATTTGGAGAACACTGGAGCTTGGTATGCTCTCAACAACCTTTTGGGTGATGGGAAATTGGTGCACAAGGCCTACGAAGAAGGAGGATTCATTAGTGGCTCCATTGGTAATACTGCAAAACCCATATTCGAAGCCGTTTTGACCTGCCTGAATCCTTGATTGAGCATTCTAGGCTTACTAATGTGACTCTGGATTTGGCCCAATTTCTTTGTACACATGGCTAGCTTGGGATGAAATAAGGCCCCTTTAAATTTATTTTGTGTTGTTGGTTTTTATATATGTTTTGTTCAACCGTTGAACTCTCAGCTATGTACTGCAAATTTGTTTTATATTCAGTATGAATAAAATTAAAAGTTTATTTTCTGTTAATTAAGTCCAGTTAAAATTTAGAAATTTGTTTCCTCAAAAAAAAAAAAAAAAAAAAAAATAGAATTTGTTATATATATGCTTTGTGTTTGGGTCCAATTTATCTAATTGGGCCTAGTCATTAAACGATCCAATATTCCAAGGTCAAGGCCCAAGCCTCCAATTAAGGCAAGTCGGCCATGAGTCATTTGGCCCAAAGGGCATCAAACGAACTTTTTTCTTGTTAAGTTTAAATGCAATTGTTGTGAGTGTTTCTGATTTGTGTTCCGGAATTAATAGCCAATGCAAGGCACCATTTAAGTACTTACCACATCGATTTTGAAACCTACTAGTGTACTTAAATCTTGATTTAATGCTCTTCCAAGATCCACTTCTAATACTATATAACTTAACATCTGTATTTTCACTTAAACACAAATCATCAAGGGAATTTGTATAGGTTAAAGACTCACAAACGATGACAGCTAATATCTTATTACACTATCATATCCGAACCCAACACAATACTGCTTATTACTTTCTATTGGAGGATATATTTTGGGAATTATTAGGATATATTTAGTTTCCATAATTTATGCCTAGTATATATTTTATGCCTAGCATAATATCTTTTTGGGGTCTTTTGATTATTTCCTAATTCTATCGGGTTAGGAAAAGATGTATTATTTATTGGCTATGGCCATCATCATTGTAATTCAAGATTTGAGGTTCTACACAATTTAACATGGTATCAATCGCTCAGATTAATTAAAACCAAAAAACCATGGTCGGTGATAATACTTTATTACCACCGCCATCAAATTCTACCATTTCCACCGTGATTGGGGGTTGCGGAGTTGGAACTTCGGACACTCTTATCAATGGTGGATTTTCTAAGATATTTTCGGCAGAACAATGGAATGCCTTAGCAAGTTTACTTGGTAATACAAAAAGTAATGATGATTGGTTGAATAATGGTTCGTTTGACAATAGAATGTGGATTATAGACACAGGGGCTTCTAGACATGTCACTTGTGATGATGTGTGGTTATTTGACATTCATGATGTCTCGTTTTGTCCGGTTGGTCTTCCGAATGGCAAATCAGTTGTGGCCACAAAAGAGGGTTCGGTCCATTTGTCTACCAAAATAATTCTTAAAAATGTGTTGTTTGTTCCGGAATTGAGTTGTAACTTAATTTCAATATCGCAATTGATTAATGATATGCATTGCATTGTTCAATTTAACTCTTCTATGTGTGCTATACAAGATCAGTCGGGGGGCTTGATTGGAACGAGTATTAGGCGAGATGGACTTTTCTACTTCGATGAAGTAGAGTCGGTGCAACAAGTTTCAGTGAATGCGGCTTCTTCTACCTTGGAGTTATGGCATAAATGGATGGGACATCCGTCAGAAAAAGTGGTGAAGCTTCTCCCTCCAGTACGTCATTGTAAGGGTGATTTGAATAAAGCATGTGAGGTGTGCTTTCGTGCTAAACATGCCAGAGACCAAATTTCCTGTAAGTGAGAATAAGACTTCTAGAATTTTTGAAAAGGTTCATTGTGATTTATGGGGTCCATATAGACACCCTTCTTCTTGTGGTGCCTGTTATTTTTTGACAATTGTGGATGATTTTTCCCGTGCGGTTTGGGTTTATTTACTCATTGATAAAACCGAGGTGTTTCGTATGTTTATGTCGTTTGTCGCCATGGTTGATAGACAATTTTCTCAGACAATTAAAATAGTTCAAAGTGATAATGGGACAGAATTTGATTGTTTGCGTGATTTTTTTAATGCCACTGGCGCCACTGGCATTTTGTTTCAAACATCTTGTGTTGGAACTCCACAATAAAATGGGCGGGTTGAGAGAAAACACAAACATATCTTGAATGGCAAGAGCTTTGAGATTTCAAGCCAATTTACCAATTTATTTTTGGGGGAGAGTGTTCTCGCGGCCGTTCATTTAATTAATCGAACTCCCTCCCCTCTGCTACACAATAAAACCCCTTATGAAATTCTTTTTACTACTTGTCCCTCATATGATTCCATTCGTACTTTTGGGTGTCTATGTTTTGCACACAATCAAAAAACAAAGGGGGATAAGTTCGCAAGTAGGAGTCGTAAGTGTATTTTCTTGGGGTATCCTTTTGGGAAGAAAGGGTGGAATCTCTTTGATCTTGATTCGAAAGAATTTTTTCTCTCGTGATGTAAAATTTTTTGAAGATGTGTTTCCTTTTCTCGACCCGGCTTCTTCAAATATAGTACCAGAAAATATTGTGCCTTTGCATGATATTGTCGACTATGATTTTGCGGAGTATATTGATGAGAATGATGACCCTCAACATGTTAGGAGCATGGTTGAGGGTGAGAACATTAATGAAGAAGAAAGGGGGGAGTGGGTGATGCGTCACACCCCACAGTTCAGCCAGCAGGGCAGCAACAACCCACTCAAGAGAAGCAACTCCACGACCTGGCAGTTGGCACCGCAGGCACCCCGCAGCAAATGGTTGTTGGCCGCAGGGGGGGTGCGGACCCCACTGCTATGTCATCAGTCACCGAAAACATACAACAAGCATCTTCACCCGTCATCGAATGTGACCAACCAATTTCTCAACCAAAACCTGTTGATTCAAATGCTATAGAATTGGGTCGTGGAATGAGGGAGAAAATACCCTCAGTCAAGTTACGAGATTATGTGACACATACTATTCTTGCTCAAAGTCCATCTCAAGCATCGCCTAATACATCGTCTCCAAAGCATCCCTCAGGTACTCCTTATCCTGTAGCACACTATATAAATTGTGACATGTTTTCTGTGAATTATCGCAAGTTTCTTGCAGCTGTTGTTCTGGGAAAGGATCCAAAATCCTTTAAAGCAGCGATGAAATCCGAAGAGTGGCGACGGTCTATGAAAGAAGAAATAAGGGCTTTGGAAGATAATGGGACTTGGACATTGGAGCATCTTACTCCCGGTAAGAAAGCTCTAGGTTGTCAATGGGTGTACAAGACGAAATTTTTGTCTAATGGTGATGTTGAGCGTCTTAAGTCTCGATTGGTTGTTTTTGGTAATCATCAACGAGAAGGCATTGATTATGGTGAGACCTTTGCCCCGGTTGCAAAAACGACTACTGTCCGTGATTTTCTTGCTATAGCCGTTTCAAAAAACTGGGAGATTCAGCAGATGGATGTTCATAATGCTTTCCTACATGGTGATCTAGAAGAGGAGGTGTACATGAAATTACCTCCAGGTTTTGAGAGCTCGGATTCAGGTTTGGTGTGTCGTTTGATAAAGTCTTTGTATGGGTTGAAACAAGCTCCGAGATGTTGGTTTGAAAAACTCACTACAGCTTTGAAAGGGTGCAGTTTTATTCAATCTTACTCTGATTATTCTCTTTTCACATACACTAAAGGCAATGTTCAGATTAATGTCTTAGTTTATGTTGATGATCTTATTATTTCTGGGAATGATTCCGCTGCATTAACTATGTTCAAAGCTTATCTTAGTGATTGTTTCAAGATGAAGGACCTTGGTCCTTTGAAATACTTTTTGGGCATTGAAGTTGCTCGTAGTAAATCAGGTTTGTTTTTGTGTCAACGAAAATACACCTTGGATATTGTTTCTGAAGCAGGGTTATTGGGTGCGAAACCAAGTGGTTTTCCGATTGAGCAGAACCACAAGCTTAGTCTTGCTAGTGGTAAGTTACTTGAGGATCCTGAGTCTTATCGTAGACTAAAGGGGCGGTTGATTTATCTCTCGGTGACTAGACCGGATTTGGCATATTCTGTTCATATTCTTTCTCAGTTTATGCATGAACCTCAGATTGAGCATTGGGAAGCAGCTCTAAGGGTGGTTCGTTATTTAAAGGGTACTACGGGACAAGGTATTCTGTTGAGTGCAGATAGTGACCTGACTTTGCAGGGTTGGTGTGATTCATATTGGGCGGCGTGTCCTCTTACTCGTCGTTCGTTGACTGGGTGGCTAGTTTTTCTTGGTAAATCTCCTATTTCGTGGAAAACCAAGAAGCAACCCACAATATCTTTCTCTTATTCTAAGGCTGAGTATCGGTGCATGGCTTCAACCACACATGAGTTGAAATGGTTGAAGGCATTGCTTTTGAGTTTGGGTGTCCAACATCCTAAGGTGATCAAGTTGTTTTGTGATAATCAATCTGCTTTACATATAGCTCGAAATCCAGTTTTTCATGAGCGTACGAAACACATTGAGATTGATTGTCACATTGTTCGTGATGTTATTACAGAGGGCTTAATTGCCCCTTCCTATGTTTCCACTAAGGAGCAACTTGCAGATATTTTCACTAAGGAGCTTGGGAAATCTCAGTTTGATCATCTTCTTTCCAAGTTGGGCATTTACAATCCCCATGCTCCAACTTAAGGGGGGGTGTTGGAGGATATATTTTGGGAATTATTAGGATATATTTAGTTTCCATAATTTATGCCTAGTATATATTTTATGCCTAGCATAATATCTTTTTGGGATCTTTTGATTATTTCCTAATTCTATCGGGTTAGGGAAACGATGTATTATTTATTGGCTATGGCCATCATCATTGTAATTCAAGCTTTGAGGTTCTACACAATTTAACACTTTCATTTTCCAACCTTCCAAGGAGAGATCGCGTCGACGGGTTATATACAGTGATGACACCAGAATTAAAATCTTGGACACAAATCATCCCATGGCAACTGCCAACAGTGTACATTGTGCTCTTACTATTGCTCGATTTATCGGTTTCGAGTTTGATGAGATCGAAGCTTGGCTCGGTAACTCCAAGAGTATATAAGTTACAAGTTTGCATTGGCCCCATTAGAACGACAAGAGAATTGGATTGAAATTGGAGGGAATGTTTGAGGTAGTAATTGACAAAGAATGGACTGGAAAGGAGTGGCAGCCATGATTTCGAGACAACTTTGAATCGTAGAAGGGATTTAACAGGAAGACGGACTAGTATCTCCACTATCAGATCACATCCGTGGGAATCATTGTGTGATTTCTTTTGGCTTGCAA